ATACATACTGTAGCCCCATCTGTTTCATGGTTTCGCACATAAAAAACTTTTGTCCTCCCTGTTTTGTTTTAATGAGGGCTGATAAAATGTAACCTCCAGTTCAGGAAGAGGTGAGGATACCTAGTAGAGTATTTCCCTGTAAGAGTGTCACTGCTGTCAGCATTTTTCACCTAGGCGGTTTTACAAAGCTGATGCTTGTCCTGGTTTTATAAACTCATGTAGCCTGTGACCTGCAGCTTGGCAACCTGCCCGCTGGCTGGCTGGACACAGCACCCACTGGGTGCCCCAGCAAGATCAATGTGCCCACTGCCCACTGACACCCTTCACTTCCAGCTGCAATGTGCCACAAGACATGCTCTCTCCAGGACATGTCACATCCCCTTCCCACCCCATCTTGCTGATAGCCATGTGCATTCTGCAGGGATTTTGGCTGCAGCAAGATACAGGGTCTGGGAATCTATTTATAACCTGTATTTCCCACAGATGCATTTCCTGGAGTCTTTGCTCCAAAGAAATGACAAGAAGAGCTGAAGAAGGATCTTTGGATATTTATGCATTTTTCCAGCAGCATAGCAACATCCTCAGGCTTACATTGGAAATATTGGGAGGTTTTCCTCTTCCTTGGCTCAAACAAGAATGTTTTGGGACCCACAGGAGAGTGTGAATCAGTTCCTCGGTCTTTAAAGTATCTCCCCAGAACCTGAAGAGTTTGTATAGGACATCACCCCAGTATATACAGGGAGGACTTTCCTATGTCAACTCAGCAGATAGCACTGATCTCCATGGGCAGCACATAGGAGGAGCATAGCTTATGTAATAGAATTAAGAAAGTGTGGGTAGGTTTATTAGTGATGACGTTTATCTCCTGCTTCTCTTTTTTCTTCTTGGTGTTCATCGAAGCGTGATGTCTACTTGAATTTTACCCTAGGGAGTCCTACCATGATGGGCTATGGGCAGGGTTTTCAAAGAGCTTTAGGCACCCAGCAGGAGATCCAAGTGCCTGGACGGCTATTTTTATTAGCCTACAGGTATTTGGCAGTTGGGCTCAGTAAAAAAGAAATATGGATTGCAGAATATCACCTGGCACCTGTCAACCTAAGCAATGAGTGCCGACAACCACCCCACATCTCATCTATGCAAAATGCCTCATTATTGCAGGTACCGAAAGTAACTGGTGGCAGAGCTGTGACTACCAGCAGCTGCCACTTGTGCCTCGCACAGGTATTTTAACCTGCATATCTTTTGTAAATAAATCTTTAAGTAGTAATTTGCACCAGTTTAAATGTTACTTAGCATGTGTGCCACGTCGTGGTACCCAGCATTTTCCCAGCAAGCAGTGTCATGAAGTAGAACCCTAGTTCAGCCTCTGTTAGTTTAAAATCCAGTCCCTAGCATAAATGTCTCCTGGGCCAACTGTGCCAGATCAGGTCTGTACTGAGTCAGGGCTCACTGCTACATGAACAGAATATGGCTCTTTGCTGCATTTACCCCTTCTAGCACGAGCTACTGTCAGTGAAAAGAATCAGATACAAATACCTTGGATTTTTTCCTCAGCTGGGTTTGCCAGATGATCCACTGGAAAGCCAGCCACCCACAAGAGAAGGTTTGAACTGATTTACCCAGCAGCTGCCCTGTTGCAAGACTCACCAGAAGGCGAGGCAGCAGGAGCCCATAGCAGAGGTGTGGACGGGAATGGAGGGGCTGTCCACTGCAGGGAGGGAGCTCTTACAGCAGCTAGGCTGTTATGTCAAATGTAGGCACGCTTTGAGCCCCAAGCGTCAGCAGCGGAGTGGTTTTATCCCTGTTGGAAAGTTTCTGCTATCCACCTGCTAATTATCACCTCACCCCAGCTCTTGCACCATGGTTTCACTCCACAGTTTAACCGGTGCAGCACTTGCTGCGGTTGGAAAGGGCAGTTAACGTCTTGCCCTCTCCGCCTCCCGGCATGCTGCCCCTCCTAATTTTGTGGTGGCAGCAGCACTTGCCTAACCTTGATCTTGACTCAGAGGCAACATGCAAATGGTCATCTGTCTTTCTGCTTCCCAGCGAGGTGCAGATTAACGACAAAGGGCCTGCCTTAAAGCTTTCTTGTCCATTAGTAGGAATCTTATCGTCTGCACAAAGCCAGAGGTTCAGGAGGGGTCGCATGCCTGGTTCATCTCAAATACAAAGGGCTTCTTGGGTTTCGGGGGTCTTCCTTTTTTAGTACTTCTAAACCACAGAGACTTGATGCAAAAGCTAGCGGCGTCAGTAGCGCTGCTCCAGGGGGATTCAGGCCTCAGGTGACTTTCCTGCATTACAGCAGTCTGATCCCCTTTTGGTTGTTTTTAATTGCTTAAATGTCAACAGCATCCAGGTGCCTAACGAGATCTAGAACTCTCAGCGCCCGGGCTGTGTTCTTCCACAGCACCGGGAGATGCTGGCAGATACAGCAGCACTGGGCCCTCTGCTGAGTCAAAGTAAAACTGCATCTCTGTGGTCATTCCCATCCAGCAGCAAACCACCCCGTGCGGAGTCACACCGGGCTGCGCCCCCCTTAGCCGCCCCAGCTGAGGCGGACTTTTGAACCTTATCAGGAGAAAACCACGGCGATAATTCTGCCAAAAGGAGGGAAATACAAGAAGCTTCATGCACTTGGAGTCGAGATGAAGCAATCTCTTCAGCCAAAAACATCTTAGGGACCACTTGTTGTTTGCTCCGAAGCGCAAATTATAGCAAATCCGGATATTCTGAGTCAAGCCCTTATTTGTCCAACAAGTAAATCCAGTGGGAACCTTGCAGAAGGAAAAGGCAGCCGACTTAGAGAAGCAGCTGTCTGAAGGCAAGCACTTCTTGTCCCACTGCTGCGCTCCCTGGGGGGGCTCACAGCATTACAGCTGTTGACTTTGCTGATTAAAGTATTTTCTGAGTGTTTGATATTCCTGTTTAGCCCTGCTGAGCCGACTTGGGCACAGAAGAGCAGGTGGGACTCTGTCTTGGCTCATGCCTCGAAAGCAGAACTGTTAACAGTGTTTTGACAGTGAACTCACACTTATTTGCAAGATATGCGGCAGGAAGGGGCCAGCCTAATTTTCAGGTTCTGTTGCAAAGTCTGTAGAAAGAAAAACACTCTTTGCACATGCCAAATGTGCAAATTACACCTGGAACTATGTCGTGATGGTGACTGTGGAAGCCCACAATGCGCTGTGTGATCAATTCCATGATTTTATTGATATGTTTGTAATGTTTTATAAGGGGTTTTAAAGTCCTGTCTCCATGAGTCACCTGGAATTCTCATATTTTTCTCTTTAGAAGAGTCTGTGGTCACATGGTTGCAGAGAAATCATGAACATCTCAACCTGAAGATTCAGCCCTCAAAGGCAAAGAACCACTCCTTCCCTACTTTCTAAATTTTGGGGTTTTTTTATTCTGCTGTGCAAGGGGGAAGACTGGATTCCTGCTCCTCAGCTCCCTGAAACAGGCACCGCCGAGTGCCAGCTATGGGCACTTTTGGAGAACTGCACTCCACAGTGCGCCTCTCCGCAGCAGTAGCTGTATTCCTGACAGGATCCCAGCAGCATTCAGCTACCAACAGAGATCGCGTTATCAACTAGGCAGCTTCCACAGGCGCAGAACAAGGCAGATTCCTCTCTCCATCAAAAAAACACAGATTTGCCTCTTTGCTGATGCAAACCAAAGGCAGCAGAAGCAGTTTGCAGAGTGTGGCGTCTGCTGGGGTGCTGGACTGTTGGCCCTTCTGCTCTCCCTGCGCTGGCCCCAGCACGCCTGGGGATCCCCACGAGGACCCTGTCCATGGGTAGGACAGGGCGCAGGCTGAAGCACAGCCCCTGTGATGGACGAACTTTAATCTCCAGCCTCTGTGGGCCTTGTGCAGTAGGTCCCGGGGGGCTCCAGCTCCCACAGTGACGGGTGGGTGGCACGCTGCCTGTTCTCAGGTGGCTCCACCTGTGGCCAGCCACAGCGAAGGCTGAGAGAAATAAAATCTCATTTATGCTCTGACCCTCAGGAGAGAGCAGATACAAGAAGCTTCTGGGATGGGCCTGCTCTGCGAAGGCATTTTTATCCCCCCTCAGAGGTCGGCCGGCTCCCCTCAGAGAGGCGCTGCCGAGGAGGAGAGGGAAGCGCTGAACCCATCTGAGGAAAAAACGGCTGCCCCGGG